CTTTGTATGGAACCGGTACAGGGTGACATGGCATATATCCAGGGACTTTGCCACTTCCCTGAATGATTTGCCCTTCTCAACTTCATTTGAGGCCCTCTGCAGCAGAGCAAGTGGCACTCCCCTGTCTGTCTTCCTCTTTCTGACATTTGGCATACTGTAAACACACACACACACTTTAGGCCTACTGTACAGTATTGCATTCTGTTTATTTTTACAGGGACAATGCACACCAATCAACAATACAACTGTATGCTTGAATGAACAATTGATCATTCAAGCAAATGAGCCATCCTTGTAAATGTGCCATGTTACAACCGTCCCGTTACAACCGTCCCAGGACCACCAGTCTTGCTTTCACCCCCTGTGAACCTGCTGATTGCTAGCTTGACCCATATTTAGCTAGTTATATTTGTAGCTTACAAAACAGTGATTCTAATAATACTAGTTTGGATTCCTAGACATTTGAACTCAAGACAGTATCCAAAAAATACATCATATCATTTTAGTTAATATTTTACCTCAGAAACACTTTTGCTGATATCTTACACGAGAAATTCAAACGTGGCTCCTTTTTTTCTCAGCGATCTTACCATCTATCTGCGCATGTGCAGAGTGAGTTTCATCACTCTAGCTTGTTTGTGATTGGAGATATTGAAGGTGTTACAACCGACCCGTGTTGCAACTGTCCCTGGTCTCCCCTACACAGCAGAGTCTGTCACTGCAGCAGAGGAGATCTGCAGATCCACTCGTTTCTTTCCTTCAGACAGGTCAGTGAAGAAACTGGTGTCCGATTCAAGTGATTCTGCTTTGTTTGTGAAATGAACCCCTGAGATAGACAGGAGGAACTCTGGTGGTTCTCCTGGATATTGTCGATACCAGAAGAAATAATCAGTTCCAGTTGCTTATATACCTGACATAAACCTTTAGAAATGATCAAGCAGGTAAACTAAATGATTGTATCATCACAAACTATTGATGTTTGTCAGAGAGAGACTCCCTCTGGTGGATGTTGTGCAGTATTGTGTTGTCTGTGCTCCAAAGGTTTTTGTACAGAGTGTAGGTGTTTCCTGTCACTGTGGGCCTCAGAGCACAGTAGTACACAGCAGAGTCTGTCTCTTTAGCTGAGATGATCTCCAGATCAACTCGTTTCTCTGTTTTGTCAATGTGAGCAGAGAAATCAGATTCAGTGGGATGGATCCCTCCTGCCTCTGTGATGTAGAGCAGGAACTCTGGTCTGGATCTCTGGTATTGTCGGTACCACTGGATATTGTAGATAGTCCCCTCATATTTACATGTCAGGCTGATGTTTCTGCCCTCTGCAACATGTTCTTCACTTCTTTCTGGCTTTATGCTGTTCATGGAGCCCAGGGCTGCAAAATGAGAATTATTCATGTCAGTTAGTCTGCAGGAGATTTTAACATTAAGAGACTCAACGGAGGGTCTTCAATTTCCTGTCATCTTTGATCAGTTTGAGATAAAACATGACCAAATGTCTTCATAGATCACAACGGTTGCTGCCTTACACAATAAAACCTCCAGTTATGAAATCTCTGGCTAATACAGCGGGTTAAATGAGACTTTATCTCTGTTCCAACACTCACCTATGAAGAGAGAGAAGAGTAACCAGAGGTAAAGCAACATGTCTTTGGAGATGGTAAAGTCGAACAGTCAGCAGATGAGTTCTCCTCCTGCAGAAGTGAAGCAGGAAACAGCCTCTCTGCTGCTCAGCCCTTCTCCTCAACATCAGATGATTGTGCTTTTAGTTCCTCAAACATCTCACTCATTGGTTGATATAAACGTCAGTGGGCGGGGCCAGAGAATCATGTTTTACTCGTTTTAAACCATCAAAATACTTTTCTCATATTAAAAACAGTTAGTTCTCTTTGTGTTTCTCACTGACTCATACATTGAAATGTACAACAACGTAGCAATAACAATGACAGGCGTTAACGTGAAGTCAGATTAGTGAGAGGTGTTTCATCGAGAGAGAAATCTGTTTAAAATTATCTTAATCTAATAAGAATATTGATTCACAGGTATCATTTAAAAGGTCTTGAACACCACAACACAAGCTGCTGTTCCAATAGAACCTATTATCACATGGTGCTTAGGGATAAACTGAATCCAATGACAAAATGAGAGGACCTTAGATTGAACCCTGTGGTACACCATATGATCACAGACTGACAAAAAAATAGAGACACTTATTTTAATTACGAATTAAGCACTTACATACTAACAAAGCACTTATATACTAATAAAGGACTGGCTTATCTAAAGCCAGTTGAGTAGCACATGAAATGTTTTGGCTCTATGAAACCTGAGGCCTGCACTACGAAGCCGGATTGTCGCTTAGCCGGCTGACTTCAGGGAAAACTCGGGCTTTCCGGTCCTACGACGCTGGTTCTCTTTTTAGTGGGCTAGATCTCCATGGTAACTTATGCTGAGCGGCTAACCTCCTCGGGAGGAGGTTAGGTTGCAGGCTAAGAGATCAAATCAGTGAAAGCACCGCCTGCTGACCAATCAGAGCTCCGTGTGCAGAGTTTAAAGCTATCAAGTCATATTACAGGATAGAGGAAATACAGAAAAACTGCCGTTGCAGGAAAGACAGCCGGCAAAAATCAACTGACTGTGTGAACGTGAACATTAATAGAATATCCCCTCCCATCTTCAGAGCAATCTGACTATTATAACATTAGCGTTAAGAAAGCTTACTTAAATATCTGCCACGACATAAGTAACCGGATCAGAGTAACATTAAGTACAGTCCGCGGCACTGTGAGTGCAGACGTCGATGTGTCCCATTATCATTCATATCATATCACATCATAATGTATCATATATTTCCTTATCTGAGTCAGCTGAGCCGTATCTGGCCGTGCAACACTCACAGTGTCACATACTGTATGCAGAAGTATTATTTTAAGCAACACATTAAGTTGACGAAACACTCGAGTCAAATGTAATTAAAGTCAGATCCACTCGTGTCTTGGCAGTGATATCATAAACCTGTTAATGAACGCATTCAAACACTTTCTCTGTTACCAGCTGTATTCACCTTGCAGGTGCAGCTATGTGGCTTTGATCCTGGATAAAGTGTTTAAGTCATGGATGTTTAAAGTTTAACTTCTTCATATTTGACTAATATTAAAGTTCACTTTTCATTCAGGAAGTATGACGCTGCGCTGTCAGTACGCTTGTCCATGTTTGTGATTGGTCGAATGCTCCAGATACCACCCCTTTCATGTGAACGCACACCTAACTAGATAGGACACGGCTGGCTTGAGCGATCCACTTGATAACCAGCGGCGTAGTACAGTTTAGCGAGAGTGCGTATGTTTTGGATTGGGCCAACCGGCTAACTCCAACATATCCAGGTTAGGAAAATCCGGCTTCGTAGTACAGGCCTCTGATGTACTTATATGATTCTGTTTTCTTCAAGTTTGTATCTTCTTGGTCGAATGCACTTATTGTAAGTTGCTTTGGATAAAAGCGTCAGCTAAATGCAATCTAATGTAATGTAATGTTAAGTTCATTAGGACTACTTAAATGTGATGAAAGGCCAGATTCACTGACTGAGTTAATTATTTGAACCTGTGGATGTGAATCAAAGGCAGTCCATGTGTTTGTATCGTGTGCAGCTGCTCCTCACCTGTGGAATTCTCTCCCAGACCACCTGAGGACTCCACAGACCACTGACGCCTTCAGGAAAGGCCTAAAACCTTTCTTTTAAAAAAGCTTTTGATTAAACTTTTGTTTGTTTTTATTATGCCTCCTGTAGCACCTTGGGATTGCTGTTAGCAATGAAAGGTGCTTTACAAATCGAATTTATTATTATTATTATTATTAGTAGGGAACAATTGTTCATACATTTCAAATCATCAAGCAGGTAAATGACATGATTGTATCATCACAAACTATTGATGTTTAACAGAGAGAGACTCCCTCTGGTGGATGCTGTGCAGTACTGTGTTGTCTTTGCTCCAAAGGTTTTTGTACAGAGTGTTGGTGTTTCCTGTCACTGTGGGCTGCAGAGCACAGTAGTACACAGCAGAGTCTGTCACTGCAGCAGAGGAGATCTGCAGATCCACTCGTTTCTTTCCTTCAGACAGGTCAGTGAAGAACCTGGTGTCCGATTCAAGTGATTCTGCTTTGTTTGTGAAATTAGCCCCTGAGATAGACAGGAGGAACTCTGGTGGTTCTCCTGGATATTGTCGATACCAGAAGAAATAATCAGTTCCAGTTGCTTGTTTGGAGTATCTGTAGGACAGAGTAACAGTGCTGCCTTCTGGACTGAACTCTTCTGTTTTGACTGGAGTCAGATCTTCACAGCTGACGCCTAAGGGAAAGATTAACTCTGTTATTTCATGTTATAAAAGTTATTTTAGCAAAACCACACTCAGAAAGCAAGAGTGCAACAAACCTGATAAGATTGCAAACAATATCAGAGAAAAAGCTGAGTTCTGCAGGGAGAGCATGTTGAATGAAGGTGATGATGATGGTCTGTGTTGAACTCTGGTGAATATGGAAGTTCCTCTCTCTTCTATAGTTCAGGAACATCTTAGCTCCTCCCTGAATCTCTCTGTCTCCTCTTAGATCTGTATTTCACTTCTCTCAATTTCATTTTTCATGTTATCACATGTGTGTCGTCTGCATAGCTATGGTAACTTATTTCATTGTTATCCATTAACTAAGCTAGTGGAGGCATGTAGATGTAAAAGGGAAGAGTCCCCAGGATGGAGCCTTGAGGAACCCCACAGGTCATATTTGTCAACGCAGTTGTTTAGTTACCTATAGAAACAACGTTTTTCCTGTCTGTTAAGTAGCATTCAGACCAATACAAACAGTGCCAGAGTCCTACCCAGTTTTCCAGTCGGTCTAGTAATATGTTGTGGTCAACAGTTTAAAATGCAGCGCTGAGATCTAATAATACTGCCACTGAGATTCTGCCTCTGTCCGTGTTTAAGTGGATGCCATTAAAGACCTTAACAAGAGCAGACTCAGTGCTGTGTGACTGGAACACATCAAAACAGTTATTTAGTTCCAATTCAATTGTTTAGCTGTTGAAAACAAGTTTTTCAATTATTTTAACCGGCCTATAAATGTTCATCAGTGAAGCGCCTAGGTAGTTCTTTAAGAGTGGTTTGAAGACTGCAGTTTTCAGGGCCTGTGGGAATAAATATGAATAACAGGAAGTGTTGGTGAAGGTCCATCAGGAGTCTGGCACATGGTGGAATGCTCTCATTAAAAAGTATTAGAATAAATTTGAGAGATAAATTAAAGTAACGTGGTGTTGAAGCATCAAATAAAAGATGCCTCTCTGCTGGGGGTTGAGTTGTTTGAGCATTTCTTGTGTTGTTTCCCTAAAGTCTAACAGAGAGAGACTGCCTCTGGTGGATGCTGTGCAGGATTGTGTTGTCTTTGCTCCAAAGGTTTTTGTACAGAGTTGTGGTGTTTCCTGTCACTGTGGGCCTCAGAGCACAGTAGTACACAGCAGAGTCTGTCACTGCAGCAGAGGAGATCTGCAGATCCACTTGATTTCTCTCCAAGTTCAGTGTGGCATTCAGTCGAGGGATTGGAGGTTTTGCTTCCACCACGTAAGGCTGTGCTGCGTCAGTGATCAGGAGGAGGAACTGAGGAGCTGATCCAGGATCCTGTCTGTACCACTGGAGATTATTGGCTTTAACTGAATATGTACAGGACAGAGTAACACTACGGCCCTCTGAGGAACACACTTCAGCACTGATGGCAGTAATATCATCTTCCAAGCTGTTACCTAGTGAGGAAAACATCATGCTATCATTACAGCTCCAAAGTCACAAACCCATCAATTCCTTAGTGAAAAAACAACACTCCTGTAAAGCGTTTATCCAAAATCCAAACTGGATGTGTAATGCTTTGAAAAAGTCTTCATATTTCCTCTTCTCCTGTCAGAAACATACGTACCTATGAGAGCTGAACAGAGCAGAATTGCAGCCAGTTTCTCCATGTTCACAGAGGGGAAAGCTGTGGTTGTTCAGTATGGAAACGTTTAGTGAGTTGTGTTTGGTCTGATGTTCACAGCTGGAATCAGAGAGGTGTCAGTCATGAAGCTCTGCAGTCAGCAGGAGGAGACTCAGATGTCCAATGAGTTTCTGGAGCTCTTCATCACAGCTGTGAGTCTGAGAGAATCTAATCTAGACTGTATCATCACATCCTGCTGAAGGTGAACAGAGAGAGACTCCCTCTGGTGGATGTAGTGCAGTACTGTGTTGTCTTTGCTCCAAAGGTTTTTGTACAGAGTGTTGGTGTTTCCTGTCACTGTGGGCTGCACAGCACAGTAGTACACAGCAGAGTCTGTCACTGCAGCAGAGGAGATGCTCAGATAGATCTGGGTTTTATCCTCATCCGATTTAACGGACAGTCGAGAGTTTGATGCAGGTGTTGTTCCCCAGTGAAGGATGAGGAACTCTGGTGGTTTTCCTGGATATTGTCGATACCAGTAGAAATAATCATTAGCTGCTATAGTTTTGGAGTATCTGTAGGACAGAGTAACAGTGCTGCCTTCTGGACTGAACTCTTCTTGCTTTGATGGAGTGAGATCTTCACAGCTGACTGGAGAGAGGAGTAATTCAAAGTAATCATTTAATAAATCGCATTAAATTAATCTGTAATTCAACTTTTTCGCGCAGAATGTTACATACCTCTTAAGACTGAAACTAAAAAGAAAAAAGTGACACAATGATGTAATGACAGCATGTTGAATGAAGGTGATGATGATGGTCTGTGTTGAACTCTGGTGAATATGGAAGTTCCTCTCTCTTCTATAGTTCAGGAACATCTTAGCTCCTCCCTGAATCTCTCTGTCTCCTCTTAGATCTGTATTTCACTTCTCTCAGTTACACTTCCTCCTGGGTAACAGATCCAAAGGCAGTCTGTAAATAAAAAGTCAGAGGACCTAGGATTGAACCCTGTGGTACACCACAATAAATTACAGACCAACAGAGTAACTTATCTTTTAAAGATAAGAACGAAAGCAATCAAAACTTGAGTCTGTGATGTGTACCAGTTTATTGAGAGAGGTGATTTAAAGTGTTTGATCAGTCAGTAAAAAAACGTAACAATGACGGGCGTTAACGTGAAGTCAGATTAGTGAGAGGTGTTTCATCTAGAGAGAAATGTGTTTTAAATCATCTTAATCTAATAAGAATTGTACTTCATACCCAACATTTAAAGCGTCTTGAACACCACAACACAAGCTGCTGTTCCAATAGAACCTATAATCACATTGTGCTCAGAGATAAACTGAATCCAATAACAAAGTGAGAGGACCTAGGATTGATCCCTGTGGTACACCACATGAAATCACAGACTGACAGAAAAACTGAAAAACTTATTTAAAGTTAATTAAGACCATCAACTGTAGTTAGTCTCATCAGCCACAACGATGAGACTAACTACAGGAAGGAAGTGAACCAGCTGGCCCTGTGGTACCAAAATAACAACCTCTTCCTGAACCTGGAGAAAACAAAGGAGATAGTTGTTGACTTCAGGAGAACCCACTACCAACCCCCTCTCCCCCTGACCATCAACGGCGCTGCTGTGGAGCAGGTGACCAGCACCAAATTCCTTGGTGTGACCATCACTGATGACCTCACCTGGGAAAACAACACCACCGCACTAGCGAGGAAAGCCCAGCAGCGCCTGTACTTCATCCGGAAGCTCAAGCGAGCCGGAGCATCACCCCCCATCATGCTGTCTTTTTACCGAGGCGCCACTGAGAGCATCCTCAGCAGCTGTATCACGCTGTGGTTTGGAAGCTGCACCGCCTCCAACCGCAAGAGCCTGCAGCGCATTGTGAACTCTGCCCAGAGGATCATCGGTGCCTCACTCCCATCACTACAGGACATATACAACACCCGCCTCACCCGCAAAGCACTCAGCATTGCGGGTGACTCCACCCACCCCTCCAACAGCCTCTTCAGCCTCCTGCCTTCAGGAAGAAGGTTCCTCAGCCTCAGCTCGCGCACCTCCAGGCTGGGCAACAGCTTCCTCCACCAGGCAGTCAGGATGCTGAACTCTCTCCCCTCCCTCCCTCCCTCTCTCTCCCTCTCCCCCTCTCTGACATCTCTCCCCTGAACTCTCCACCCTGCCCCAAATGGTCCTGGACTGTAACCCCCCCCCCCCACACACACACACAACCTTCCCTCATCCAGCACCAGTCACTTTTCTACCCATCTCCGCTGCTACTGCACTGAAACTGTACTTTGAACATTTTTCTATTTTGCACAAAAAATACTTGCATTAATGTCAATTTATGTTCTGTGGACTGTGTTTTTAAATATATTATTAACCAGCACTTATTAAAACTATTGCTTAGTTGTATACCCCATTTATCTCTGCCCTTTTTTTGTTTTATGTATATATGTCACACTGTGGGACTGCGGGAAACGGTATCTCGAGATTTCTGTATGTATAACACATGTAGAAATGTTGACAATAAAGCTGACTTTGACTTTTGACTTTGACTTTGACTTACTTTTATTTTAACCTGTGATGAAAGGCCAGATTCCCTGACTGAGTTCAACATTTGAACTTGTGGATGTGAATCAAAGGCAGTACATGTGTTTGTATAATAGGGAACAATTGTTCATACATTTCAAATGATCAAGCATGTCAGTGACATTACTGTATCATCACATCCTGCTGAAGGTGAACAGATCACAAACTATTGATGTTTAACAGAGAGAGACTCCCTCTGGTGGATGCTGTGCAGTATTGTGTTGTCTTTGCTCCAAAGGTTTTTGTACAGAGTGTTGGTGTTTCCTGTCACTGTGGGCTCCACAGCACAGTAGTACACAGCAGAGTCTGTCACTGCAGCAGAGGAGATGCTCAGATAGACCTGGGTTTTATCCTCACTCACTTCAGCAGACAGTCCAGAAACTGGATTCAACATAATGTTTCCAGTTCCTAAATGAGAGAAGATGAACTCTGGTGGTTTTCCTGGATATTGTCGATACCAGAAGAAATAATCATTACCAGTTGCTTCTTTGGAGTATCTGTAGGACAGAGTAACAGAGCTGCCTTCTGGACTGAACTCTTCTTTCTGTAATGCAGTGAGATCTTCACAGCTGACCCCTGAAGAGAGGAGTAATTCAAAAGACTCAGTTAATAGATCACATTTGATCAACATTAGAAGTCAACGTTTTCATGCAGAATGTTACGTACCTCTTAGAATGGAAACTAACAGTAGGGAATGTAAATAATAGTCTAATGACAGCATGTTGAATGAAGGTGATGATGATGATGGTCTGTGTTGAACTCTGGTGAATATGGAAGTTCCTCTCTCTTCTATAGTTCAGGAACATCTTAGCTCCTCCCTGAATCTCTCTGTCTCCTCTTAGATCTGTATTTCACTTCTCTCAGTTACACTTCCTCCTGGGTAACAGATCCAAAGGCAGTCTGTAAATAAAAAGTCAGAGGACCTAGAATTGAACCCTGTGGTACACCACGATTAATCACAGACCAAAAGATAATTGTAATGTATAAAGATAAGAACAAAAGCAATCAAAACTTGAGTGTGTGATGTGTACCAGTTTATTGAGAGAGGTGATTTCAAGTGTTTGATCAGTCAGTAAAGAAGGAAAACGTGGCGATAACAATGACGGGCGTTAACGTGAAGTCAGATTAGTGAGAGGTGTTTCATCTAGAGAGAAATCTGTTTAAAATGATCTTAATCTAATAAGAATTGTACTTCATACCCAACATTGAAAAGGTCTTGAACACCACAACACAAGCTGCTGTTCCAATAGAACCTACGATCACATTGTGCTTGAGATAAACTGAAACCAATGACAAAGTGAGAGGACCTTGGATTGAACCCTGTGGTACACCACATCAAATCACAGACTGACAGAAAATTAGAGACACTTATTTTTAGTTCATGGAGACTACTTGAATCAAGGCAGTACATGTGTTTCTATGGTAAAATTGTTCACAGATTTCAAATGATCAAGCAGGTAAACAACATTACTGTATCATCACTAACTGTTGATGTTTATCAACAGTTGAACTGTAATGTAGCATATTATTTTCCATGGCATTATTGTATGATCATATGTCAGATGAACAGATGCCACTGGGCTTACAACTAAAGACACAGCCACGCAAAAACTGCGGCATGTGTACGCAGGGGCGCCGTAAGGGGGTGAAAAGTTAGGACGATTCTGAGGGCCCGTGACTGACAGGGGCCCAAACAATTTGAGAACATTAAGAAAAAAATGTTTAAGCAACCAATGTGATTATCTTTTCATGGGGCTCCTTATGGGTACTGCAATTTTTGAATTGCCGGAGCCGCGTTCCGGCAGCACTATACCCCGTAATGACATGTTACGCTTGTGTTGTGTTCAAGGAACCTGTCCATGGCCAGGAAAAACAGGCAGTCGCTTGTTTAATTCTGTTGCGGTCTAGATTTCTTACATTTTTTGTTTCCTTCTGCGCTGCGTTGCGTGCATGTCTTCCTTCTGCAGGTAACGGTGAGACACGCTCTGGCGGCGGTCTCGTTCAGGATCCGAAAATACAATTTAAATATTTTGCACACTTATTCTACTTATTCCTAGTGTGCCACTGGTTACGGTACCGCGTGCCACGTGCCTACGGTTACCGACCCCTGCCCTAGGTTGCTCTTTAAGAGTGGTTTGAAGACTGCAGATGTCAGGGCAAGTGGGAATAAATATGAAAAATAAGAAGTGTTGGTGAAGGTCCATCAGGAGTCTGGCACCTGGTGGACTGCACTAATAAAAAGTTATTAGGATAAATGTTTCAGATCAATTAAAGTAGCGTGGTGTTGAAGCATCAAATAAAGGATGGCTCTCTGCTGGGGGTTGAATTGTTTGAGAGTTTCTTGTGTTGTTTCCCTAAAGTCTAACAGAGAGAGACTCCCTCTGGTGGATGCTGTGCAGTATTGTGTTGTCTTTGCTCCAAAGGTTTTTGTACAGAGTGTTGGTGTTTCCTGTCACTGTGGGCCTCACAGCACAGTAGTACACAGCAGAGTCAGACAGCTGAAGCTTCTGGATCTTCAGAGGAACGGATCTTAAGCTTGAATTCAGTGTGGATGAGAATCTGTCCTCGTCCTCTGTTTTCCCCGTGCCGATCTTAAAGCGGCTCAGGATGAATGTGGGGCTGTTGTCTCCGAGCTGGTTGTCTTTGCTCCAAAGGTTTTTGTACAGAGTTAATAATAATAATAATAGCTTGGATTTATATAGCGCCTTTCATGGGACCCAAGGTCGCTTAACAAAGAAGAATAGGGCAGAAACAAACATAACAAAACAAAAGGCTGTCAGACAACCAGTCAGACAGACAAAACAACAGATAGATTTAGGGGCCAAAGGCCTTAGTAAACAGATGGGTCTCCAAGAGCCGTCTCGTTTAAGTGAACGACGGGAGCCGGCTCGTGCCCGCGAACGAGAAGTTTTTTTTCGTTTTTTTCCCGTTAAGTAATACAAGACAGAATTATATGATGATCTCTGCGTTACGGGTGCTCCGTGAATGCATGCATGCAGTGACATGTAATATCCAAGGATTAGAGACTGATGGATGTTGCTGTTTTGAGCATTGCAATATATTTATTTTCACTATGTTATTTATTTATGATTATCTTTAGGCTCAGCAAAGATTTGAGTTCAGCTGTCTGCTGTCTTTTTTTCTTTATTTAATAGTGAAATAGAGCCCTGCTGTTTTGTTAGGGCTTTTTCTTTAAATACAATTTTTAAATGTCGATACAGTAGCTGTCCTTTTTTTAAATGTCTATGCTTACGTTGTTACAGGTGTTGCTATCTGCTTTGTGTAGCGTGGTTCTACAAGCAAGTCAGTGCATTCATTGGGTTGTGTCAGAGAGTTACAAGGGTCTGTAAATGCAATTGGCCACAGCAAATCATTTATATTAAAAATAACATTTTTCAATAATGTATTGAATACTGTATTATTCAATAAATTATTCAGGATATATTGAATCATTTAAGTGATATATGTGTACACTAGGGGTGTAACGGTATACGTATTCGTATCGAAATTATTCGGTATGGGCCCTTCGGTGCGGTACACGTGTGTACCGAAGTGTACCGAACGAATATAACGTTAAACGTAAAAAATTGAGAACATGAACAACTTTTTGGAAGTAATCTCAGGTGCTGCGTCGCAGCATTCAGTGTAATTTTCTCCCATTGGGTTCAACATAGAGCAACCAAGTCATTTCATTGGACGAGAGGCATACTTTGAGAGCTGGTCACAGGGATGCGTTCAAATTTAGTCAGTCATTTGAGGAACTGTCGAAATGGCGAACGCAGATAAAGTTGAGCTCAAAAATCCTCCAGCATCATTGAAGTCTCCGGTTTGGGAACGTTTTGGTTTCGCAGTTACGTACAAGGATGACGGACAAAGACAGGTGGACCGAACCAAAGCTGTTTGTCTGCATTGTTCAACTAAAATGTATTACGCGGCTGGCAATACATCAAACTTGCACACTCATTTGAAAAGGCATCACCCGAATGTGAATATCACCGTTACCAAAAGAAAAAAGACTGAAGTGCAAACCCAACTCCCACTAGCATTTAAGCCTCCACCACTCGCAAAAGGTTCAGACCGAGCCAAAGCTATTACAAACGCCAAATATCCTTATGTTGCCATGTTAGCAAAGCGCTACCTGGCTGTATCTGCTACCTCTGTCCCTAGAGCAGGGGTGGGCATTTTACGGCCCGCGGGCCACATCCGGCCCGTTGGCCGGCCTTGGCCGGCCCGTGTGAGGTTGATCATAAATTATAACATAATAAAAAAAAACAGCAACCTTTTCAAAATAAAAGCAACACAGCTGTATTGCTTGCATGGCGTAAATACTTTTCTAACTGTGTTGGTTTTATTTTGAAAAGGGCGCTGCTGTTTTTTTTATTTATTTACGTAAACGCGCATGCCGTGAACAGCTACGAGTGATGCTGGCCGGCTAGTCCTCGAAATGTCCGCTAAGGGCAAAAAAAGAAAGATCGATACTGAATGCCGCATTTTCAACAAGACATGGACCGCTAAGTATTTATTTACAGAAGTGAAAGGTAAAGCTGTGTGTTTAGTTTGTGGTGCGCAGGTCGCTGTGTTCAAGGAGTACAATTTGAGTCGCCACTATGCTATCAAACACGCAGATAAATACAATAACCTGTCTGAGGAAGAGCGGGCAAAGGGGTCGGATGCTTTGCTAGCTAAGCTGCAAAGCCAACAACATATTTCCACAAAACATTCCACATCCAGAGATGCAGCTGTCAAGACGAGTTATGTCTTATCCCACAAAATTGCAAAGAAAAGTAAACCGTTTTCCGACGAAGAGTTCATTAAGGAGTGTTTGTTGGACTCTGCGAAAGTGAAATGAGAAAGTGCCGCTCTCCCGACGCACTGTTACGAGGAGGATTGAGGACATCGCGGGAAATCTGGAGCTTCAGCTGCAGAACAGAGCGGTCAACTTTGACTTTTTTTCCTTGGCTTTGGATGAGAGCTACGATGTACGTGACACTGCCCAGCTACTCATCTTCCTACGCTTCTCTCAAGCCAAATGGAGGACAACATTCTCAAGCACTTGCCAACACTGAAGGAAGCCACACCATCAGCTGATCACCTCCAGAGGTACTCATCCATGTTAGAAGCACTGCATGGTGAGTTTTCAAGGCGATTTAAAGACTTCAAAACAGTTGAGAATGAAATGAACATGATCTTTTCCCCATTTACATGCCATGTGGATGATGCACCCAGTGATGTTCAGCTCATTGACCTGCAGTCTGACACACTTCTGTCAGAGCACTTTAGGTCAGTCTCACTGCCTGAGTTTTACTTTTCCCTGAAAGAGGAGAACTTTCCACACATCAGGAGACGTGCTCAGAAGATGATGGTCCTCTTTGGATCTACCTACATATGTGAACATTCTCAGTGATGAAGTTCAACAAATCCAGATACAGATCCTCTATCACTGATGATCACCTCTCAGCTGTCCTTTGCATATCCACCTCAGACATTGAACCAGATTTCCGTGCACTTGTTCAAGCCCAAGACAGACTGGATTTTTCTCACTGAACAAGTAAAATTAACTGAAAAACAAAAATCAAAAGCACTCATTTCTTTTTGTATAAAGCTGATTCATTTCTTATCTTTAACATACTGTAAAACACCTTTTCAGTATTGGTATATTGAGCAGAATTAAGTTCAACTTATTTTTTATTCGGCCCCCCCAACACAGCTCGAGTTTCTGAAATGGCCCCTTGTAAAAAATAATTGCCCACCCCTGCCCTAGAGCATGGGTCGGCAACAGGCGGCCCGCGGGCCATTGTTGGCCCGCCAGCAATAATATTTGGCCCGTCATTTTGAGAATACAAAATCAAAAAATATTTTGAGATTTTTCTTTTTTTTTTTTTTTACAACATCGGACCGACAGTCGCACATATAGGCTATAATGTAGAGATAATAGAAAATCTACCTACACCTGAAGAATGCTTATTGTACTTTTATCTATGTTGAGAATGAATGACATACAGCACAGGCACAATCAGGCAGCGGGGTGCACTGACGTCAATTAAAGTACTTATTTAAAGGACACCTATCATGCTATATTTAAATGATATATCGTAGGGCCATACCTATATAAGGTGTATTTATACGTTTCTGTTTTCAAAATACCAAACAGATCATGCATTTTAGCCATGCCTCATTTCTCTCTATTTGCTGTTCTCCAGCCCTGTTTTTGCAGGGGGCTGATTCTGTGAGCTGCAGCTGACCACGCCCCCCTGCAGGAGAGGGGAGCGTGCTCTGATTAAGTCAGAATAGGGGGAGAAAAAGAGATCTCCGTCCTCCGTGTTTTATTCTTATATTATTATAGAGAGTCGTTATTCATTTGTTTTAAAGCTCAATAAATAACAAAGAAGACCTTTGACCGGCACTTTTCTAATTTTGTCCGGAAGATTTAAACTTTAACGGACATCTTGACCGGCGAAAGAAAACCTAACTGAAACTCTGCTGCACGGTCGTTCCTTGGAAGAGGCGGAGAGGCGGAGAGGTGGATGTTTGTCATCTGCTGGTGGACTAACCGGAGAGAATTACAGTGCTTGCCTCGGGGAGGGAGAACAAAAGCCACACCATGGCAACCATGCGCGGGAAGTCTTCTTCGCTGCTTTTGTGGCAGACTACAGCGCCACGTACAAGCCTGGCATATGTACTACAGTGTCTCCAGCGCTTTCGAGCGGCAATGGCCGGCCGTGGCCCAACCCCACATTCCCCTGATAGGTGGAGAGTTGGCCCAATAGCCGTAGCACCACCGTCCTGACGTCAGGACAGTGTTCAAATCTGGATCAGTTTTTATCAGATCCGTTGCAGCCCCTTTTTTAGAGATTTGGGTATGGAGGAAAATAGAGAGGGTTGTGTTTTCTGACTCTTGGTGAGTTCCCTGGAACACCGGGGACACATATTCATGTAGAAAAGACGTACAAAAGTGCATCTTGCATGATAGGTCCCCTTTAACTATTAAATACATTGAGTTGAGTAAAATACTTGGTTACTGATTAATTTAGGTTATAATATATTAAATAAATTGCAAAGCAAAACATGCTGTAATTTATTTATTTTGTATTTTTTAAAGGTTTTCAACCTGAAAGAATCCTAATGTGTCCTTGAAAAGTTGAAATAAAGAAAAGGAAAAAGGATTCCAGTTGTCCATGCGTCCTCTGTTGCCCCTCAAGCCTCTCAAATGTGGGCAAACACTCAAATAAATGCCAAAAACCCAGAGAACTTGACAATACTTATCAGAATAAAAGCATGTTAAATAACACTGCTACCTAGTTAATAACTCACTCAGTGGAAGCTCGTCCATTGAGGAAAGGGAGGACCATCCTCCCTAAAATTTCAGAAGAAAATTAACTTTGAAGAGAACAATAAATACACTTCAATTTAAAAGATAAGTCTGTTAAAATACAGATAATAGCCCTGACTTTTAACATGGGACTGAAATGGGGCTAGAGACGACGAGCCTCCCTTTGGGCGGGTCTATCCAGAGGCTCTGGATTGGGCGCCTATATCATCAGTGAACCAATCAGCGGATCTGACTGGGCATTAGAGTGTTGATGGGGAGGGTTATCAGCGATATCAGAGTTTTTTCTGAACCGGGGAACAGGGGCGCTGCGCCCTCTTACCAAAATCAATTCCTTGAATTAGGCTTTGATTATGTTCTGGCCCGCCATCTTGTGGCTCAGCAAAAAATTGGCCCACGGCCAAACTTACTTGCCTACCCCTGCCCTAGAGAGAGGGTGTTCTCCACAGCAGGAGACATTAGTGCCAGCAGATCTGCCCTTTCTGCAAGCAATGTGGACAAGTTCATCTTTCTTAAAGAAACATGAAAATACAATGACAAGCAAGCAAGTCCTAATGTCAAGCTGGCTGCTTAGGGGAGTACTAGTACACTACAGTTCAAATACAGATTATTTCAGTTCATCGAAATGCTGCACCTTAATGTTTATGTTATTATATTTTGTATTTATTTGAGTGAATACATTATTCACAGTTTAATAATAATTAAAAAACCCCAACAAATATTTTATGTTTTGAGATCATTTTTTCTGCTGTTCCGAAAACGTACCGAACCGTGACCTTAAAACTGAGGTACGTACCGAACCGAAATGTTTGTGAACCGTTACACCCCTAGTGTACACATATAAATCATTAGTCAAAATAGGGCTACATTTGACTGAATTATAAAAGGTATATATTATAAAAGGTATATATTCGGGACCCCCTTGAAAACGAGATGGTGCATCTCAAGGGGTTTATCCCAATAAATGAATTTCTATATATATATATATGTGGTAAAATGAAGAGCCGTTTGGGAGCCGAAAGAGCCGGCTCTTCTTGGTGAGCCGAGCCAAATGATCCGGCTCACTAAAAATAGCCGGAATTCCCATCACTAATGGAGACTACTTACTTTTATTTCAACCTGTGATAAAATAGTTAAACATTTGAACCTGCAGATGTGAATCAAAGGCAGTACATGTGTTTGTATAATAGTGATATTTACACACAGTATAATTCAAATGATCAAGCAGGTAAATTACATTACTGTATGATCACAAACTATTGATGTTTAACTCCCTCCCACATTTTTAAGATTCGGTTATGATGAGGTATTGTTAAGAATGAAAGTAAAGTTTTACAAAATGTCATTATCATCGGAGTACATGTCGTATGAAAAAACCCTTTCCCTCAGTATGTTTACCTCAAGCACTTATTTGTGTATCACCGTCACAAAGAGTCTACACTGTTTTGTAATATACTGTTGGAGTTTTTCAGAGAGAATCTCTGGTGGATGTTGTGCAGTATTGTGTTGTCTTTGCTCCAAAGGTTTTTGTACAGAGTTGTGGTGTTTCCTGTCACTGTGGGCCTCAGAGCACAGTAGTACACAGCAGAGTCTGTCACTGCAGCAGAGGAGATCTGCAGAGGAACTGATGTCTTGTTGAGTGTAGCCTCAAATCTGTCTTCCTTGAACTCTTCAGCATTATCTCGACCTCCTGAGAAACGCTTCAGCATGTACTTTGGGTAACCATTGACTTCTTGTTTGTACCAGAACAGATAGGCTGTCTTAGATGTCTGAAATGTGCAGTCAAGTGTAACTGTGTCTCCTTCAGTAGCGCTGACATCTCCTGCTGGCTGGGTCACTGTGTCTTGTCCTTTACACTCTGGGGAAGAAGAGACCATGCAGAGGAAGAGATGAATCAATAAAGATGATGGATTAAAGGAGAACAATCAGTAGCTTTAAACAGTTACCTAGAAACATGTTGTAGTTTCTATCTTACCAAAGGAGAGAGCAGCAAGAATAATCCACAGCCAATGTTCCATCTCTACAACAAGGTTTAAATCAGCAGCAGGAAGTAGCTGATGTTCAGCATTCAGTGTGAGGATGGTTCTCTTCACAGCAGCACTTCTTATTGACTGGATGGTTGAACACAGTGCAGAAGACGTGCACCGCCTACTTGATAATGTGGCCCTCTAGTGGAGGTGAACAGCTCAGTACAACAGTGTGGAGAAAAGGCTTCCAGCAGCTTGTCAGTGTGTCAGCTGGTGTTTGTGTACAGAGTGTTGGTGTTTCCTGTCACTGTGGGCCTCACAGCACAGTAGAACACAGCAGAGTCTGTCACTGCAGCAGAGGAGAGGCTCAGATTGATTTGGTTTGACTCCACTGTAATATTCAGTCCAGGGATTGGATCTTTAAGTATTCCTCCAGTTCCTAAATGAGAGATGATGAACTCTGGTGGTTTTCCTGGATATTGTCGATACCAGAAGAAATAATCATCCAATTCAGCAACCTTGGAGTATCTGTAGGACAGAGTAACAGAGCTGCCTTCTGGACTGAACTCTTCTTCCTGTAATGCAGTGAGATCTTCACAGCTGACCCCTGAAGAGAGGAGTAATTCAAAAGACTCAGTTAATAGATCACATTTGATCAACATTAGAAGTTAACGTTTTCATGCAGAATGTTACGTACCTCTTAGAATGGAAACTAACAGTAGGGAATGTAAATAATAGTCTAATGACAGCATGTTGAATGAAGGTGATGATGATGGTCTGTGTTGAACTCTGGTGAATATGGAAGTTCCTCTCTCTTCTATAGTTCAGGAACATCTTAGCTCCTCCCTGAATCTCTCTGTCTCCTCTTAGATCTGTATTTCACTTCTCTCAGTTACACTTCCTGCTGGGTAACAGATCCAAAGGCAGTCTGTAAATAAAAAGTCAGAGGACCTATGATTTATCCCTGTGGTACACCACAAGAAATATCAGACCAACAGAGTAACGTATTTTATAAAGATAAGAACAAAAGCAATCAAAACTTGAGTGTGTGATGTGTACCAGTTTATTGAGAGAGGTGATTTCAAGTGTTTGATCAGTCAGTAAAAAAAAACGTAATAATAACAATGACGGGCGTTAACGTGAAGTCAGATTAGTGAGAGGTGCTTCATCCAGAGAGAAATCTGTTTAAAATGATCTTAATCTATTAAAAATATTTCTTCAGATCCGACATTTAAAAGGTCTTGAACACCACAACACAAGCTGCTGTTCCAATAGAACCTTTCATCAAATTGGGCTTGGAGATAAACTGAATCCAATGACAAAGTGAGAGGACCTAGGATTGAACCCTGTGGTACACCACATGAAATCACAGACTGACAGAAAAACAGAAACACTTATTTTAAATTCATGGAGACTACATATTACGTTTAATCTGTGATAACAGGTCAGATTAACTGATTGAGTTACACATTTTAACCTGTGGATGTGAATCAAAGGCAGTACATGTGTTTGTATGGTAGTGCACAATTGTTAATAGATTTCAAATGATCAAGCATGTAAACTACATTACTGTATCATCACTTTGCCACTTCCCTGAATGATTTGCCCTTCTCAACTTCATTTGAGGCCCTCTGCAGCAGAGCAAGTGGCACTCCCCTGTCTGTCTTCCTCTTTCTGACATTTGGCATACTATAAACACACACACACACTTTAGGCCTACTGTACAGTATTGCATTCTGTTTATCTTTACAGGGACAATGCACACCAATCAACAATACAACTGTATGCTTGAATGAACAATTGATCATTCAAGCAAATGAACCATCATTGTAAATGTGCCACGTTACAACCGTCCCGTTACAACCGTCCCAGGACCACCAGTCTTGCTTTCACCCCCTGTGAACCTGCCTGATTGCTAGCTTGACCCATATTTAGCTAGTTATATTTGTAGCTTACAAAACAGTGATTCTAATAATACTAGTTTGGATTCCTAGACATTTGAACTCAAGACAGTATCCAAAAAATACATCATATAATTTTAGTTAATATTTTACCTCAGAAACACTTTTGCTGATATCTTACACGAGAAATTCAAACGTGGCTCCTTTTTTTCTCAGCGATCTTACCATCTATCTGCGCATGTGCAGAGTGAGTTTCATCACTCTAGCTTGTTTGTGATTGGAGATATTGAAGGTGTTACAACCGACCCGTGTTGCAACTGTCCCTGGTCTCCCCTACACAGCAGAGTCTGTCACTGCAGCAGAGGAGATCTGCAGATCCACTCGTTGCTTTCCTTCAGACAGGTCAGTGAAGAAACTGGTGTCCGATTCAAGTGATTCTGCTTTGTTTGTGAAATGAACCCCTGAGATAGACAGGAGGAACTCTGGTGGTTCTCCTGGATATTGTCGATACCAGAAGAAATAATCACCACCGGCTGCTTGTTTGGAGTATCTGTAGGACAGAGTAACAGTGCTGCCTTCTGGACTGAACTCTTCTGTTTTGACTGGAGACAGATCTTCACAGGTGACGCCTAAGGGAAAGATTAACTCTGTTATTTCATGTTATAAAAGTAATTTTAGCAAAACCACTCTCAGAAAGCAAGAGTGCAACAAACCTGATAAGATTGCAAAACATATCAGAGAAAAAGCTGAGTTCTGCAGGGAGAGCATGTTGAATGAAGGTGATGATGATGGTCTGTGTTGAACTCTAGTGAATATGGAAGTTCCTCTCTCTTCTATAGTTCAGGAACATCTTAGCTCCTCCCTGAATCTCTCTGTCTCCTCTTAGATCTGTATTTCACTTCTCTCAGTTTTGTTTTCTTCATGTTATCACGTGTGTGTCGTCTGCATAGCTACACTCTAAAAATTGCTGGGTTATTTCTGTAAACACATTGCTGGGTTGATTTGGCTGGGTCATAATTATGGGTTATTTGGGTACTGCAAACACACTGGTGGGTTGTTCATGCTGGGTCAAAGGGGTTATTAGGGCTTCAATTGCAGTTGAACACCTGCCTGGGTTATTTTTAACCCAGAGGTTGCTTTATTCATTTTCCCACTTCTGAATCATTCTGGAACCATCTTTTTGTCATTTCTCACATCAAAACACAAGGTATGTAACCTATATTTTATCACTATATTTTACCTATATTTATATAATTATACAATTCTGTAACCTATATTTTTTTAATGAGTTGTGATAACAGCACAATAGGGATCTGTATTAATAGTAATATGGCATTTAACAGACTGTGCAAAGTATAACATTAGCAGTTAACGTCAGCTACAAATGTTTTACATTTCTGTCAATGCTATATCATTAAGTGAAAGAGCCTTGAATTTACGTTGTGATGCGATGAATTATTATTTTACAAAGACGTTTGTTCTACTAGTAGCTATAAATAGGTCTGAACTATATATAGCTTTGGGTTTGTGTGCAAAATTATTAGATGTACTGTACAAGCTTCACTTCAGTGTAGCTGTTGGCAGTATAAATCAGATGGCTTTTATGTCACAACTCTCTTTCCCAGCATGCAGGACAGACAGACAGAGAAAGAAGCTCATTGATTTAGGTAAGTTTAGGTTATTAGAGTTATTTATTAATTACATTAATCATTAAAGTTAGCAACTATTGAAGTTATTTTTAGGAGTGAGTGACCGAAGTCACCGAACCACATAATGTAACATTTTAGTTCCCTGCCATCGACGTGTTACCACAGGTTAGCTTAGCTTAGCTTAGCATAGCACACCAACCAGCTAGGTCGTGAATGGCGAGGGGCGACGTCAGGGTCCAATAATAATAATAATAAATCGTGAATGATTAAAATGTCTTCATGGAGAGATTGTTCTTTCGTGAGAGTGAGCTCTATCACTGGTCTGCTTTTATATTGCTTTATATTCGGCAGTGGTTGCGTGCCTAAAGTAGCATTATTTTTTCTTCTGTGAAACGTCATTTCATTCTATTGTGTGTGCATTTGTTTTCTATCTAACATAGATTTGGCAGACCCCCTGTAGTAACTGTACATTTGTAGCTTGGTACCTTACAATAAATGTTAAGACATTGCACAGTTTTGTGAAATTCTAATGTACTTAATCTGATTTCATTCTAGTAATGTGAGGGTTTCACCATGGACACGTTTGTCACAGAGACGTTGACTGCATGGCAGCTTGAGAACTTGATTGATTAAAGGTAAGTTCATTTTTATTGAGACAATGTTGAGATGTTACTATTAAATATTTTGTTATATATTAAAAAGAGGAAGGCCATATCCAGTTTTGATACTAAATATTTTCTATTTTCACTAGGTAATTGACCACTTAAACCCTATGGATTTTTCTTTTAATCTCAGTGATGCAAATTAGTCGCTTTTCGGCGCTTCCCGCTTTTTTAACGCTGATTTGGGTGACTTGTGTAATTCATGGAGAACCGAAGAGTTTTCGTTTTGGGGGTGGGGGTGGGGGGAGTCCGTCCGTCCGACTGATGGACAACTTCTCACTTCAAAAAAGAAGAAGAAATCTAGACCGCAAAATAATTATACAAGCGAGTGCCTGTTTTTCCTGGCCAAGGACAGGTTCATTGAACACAACACGAGCGTAACGTGTCTTCACGTGGTATATGTCTCGTCTGAAAGGAGTGTAGACTAGAGTGCTGACGGAGAGCACCGGAACGCCGCTCCAGCTCTTCAAATATTGCAGTGCCAGTACCCATAAGGAGCCGTACACATGCCGCAGTGTTTGCGTGGCTGTGTCTTTAGTTGTAAGCACAGTGGCGATCTGTTGTTATTAGCATCTGGTTAGCTAGCTATGCTAACGAATTTAAAGAGCTTCTCTACAACCAGGTGGAAGAGAGCTCTCTCCTGAGAGGCTCAAATAACCTCAGCTCAGTGAGGTTAAGGCACACCTTGATATGATCATTATAGTTATTAATGAGACATTAGAGACTAAATGAAAGTTTATGACAGTAACAAAAAAGTTGTTAAAAAGAACAAGAATAGAGTTTAAAAGGTGAGTGATTTGTAAAATATCCAAAAAGAAAAATCTGCTTACAGTTCTGTTTAATATGGGTGTTGAAAGATGTATCCATAGATCTCTTCATTTTGCTCTCAAAGTGCACCAGATTGATGCTTTTAACTTAAAGGGGACCTATCATGCTAAATGCACTTTTGTACGTCTTTTCTACATGAATATGTGTCCCCGGTGTTCCAGGGAACTCACCAAGTGTCAGAAAACACAACCCTCTCTATTTTCCTCCATACCCAAATCTCTAAAAAATAATAATAATCTAATTTTCTCTTTTACAGGGAGCTTGGTACACACCTGGCCGAAATCACAAACCTGCTACAGGTTTCCTGGAGGAGCGCTTGAGGAACGTCAGGAAGCGCATGAGAATGCTGAAACGACCACGCCACCAAGAACAACAGGAGGAACAGACACCTAGTACACCAGGTAATACTAATAACCAATGTTAATTATCCCCGCCAGGCTAGAATGGACAAATGCAAGGGATTATATTTTCGGTCCCATGACTCTTCTGTCCATCCATCTTCTAAAAGCTAGTCTCAGGCACCGCTGGACCGATTGGCGACTTTTCACACACTCTCCAATTAGGCCAGAACCCCAAATGTTTGAAATCAGCTATAATGAATCTGAGGACCTCTGTACTTATCATTCAACAGAATCTGATGTGCCTCCTGAAAAACTTCTAGAAATGGTTGAATGGATGAAGGTCAATAGGTATCCAGTGTCCCAAGTTGAGGACTACATGAATCAAACAGCTCTACAGAGAGGCAAGTGGATTCGCAGCAATGGATCTAAAAGCCTCCCGGAAATCTTGACTGAGTTCCCTAGGCTTGTAGACAATCCTGGCATGGTAAGAAATTATTTTGCTATTGCGGTTTTGTCTATTTGAATGATACTCTATTTGTGTTAGGATTTGAGGTAAGGCCCCAAATGCAGATTGAGGAAAAGCGGGTTTCAAAGTGTAACAAAAGGCGAGCTTTAATTACAAAAAGCTGTTGACAATGAAAAAACAAAACAAAACCATATTCTCGTGGTTTCCTTGCGTCTCTCCATGCTTCCCTGGTGGGAGGGACTAGTCGCAGGGAAACGACGCAAGAGGGACGCAAGGAATCCATTTAACCGAAGTGAAACGCAGCCAAAGTGAACACAATCGGGTTATCAGGCAGGAGGGAACACAGAGACAGGAAGCAACAGACAAGCCGGGGGGGGGTGAACACTTTTCAAAATAAAACAGGAAACCAAAGACAGATCTAGACATGACAAAACACAACACAGACAGATCGTGACAATTTGACTGATACTCTGCAATGCACTACAAGTTTATGTTTAACCACTTAGACCCTACAGTATATACTTTGTAATAATTTAATAATTTACCTGTTGAAGTGACACTGGCTGTCAAATTGTCCCCTAACCCTTTTCCTAACAGGTACTACAAGCCCATATCATTTCTTTAAACACTGTTCTATTGTTTTTCATGTTTTTCAAAATGTATCAGATATCACAAGACTTCCAGCAGCTTCATCCAGAGGCAGTGGGAAAACTGTTTCAGAACTGGGCTACTATGAGTGACCGAATCCTTACATATGCCCAGCGAGAGGGAAAACTGCCCTTGGTGTTTGATGACATGACACCAGGTAAGCTATTTCTTACTATGTAACACACACACACACCGGTTCTTTGAAAATAGCAGATCTACAAGCTTGCATTGCGTCCCAATGAGACTCGTTGTGAGCTTGTAGATCTGCAATTTTTTTTAATATTTTAACAATCATCTTGTATGGGGTCCCTTGCACAACATGTTTTCGGAAGGGAGTCTTTGGACAAATACATAAATACATGAACAAGTTTGTGAACCACTTCATTAGATACCTTGTTGTCTTTCTTTGATTCCTGCTCCCCCCCCTTCCTTTTCTTTCTCTTTCTGGAAACAATCAAAACCATGGAGCTTGCACAAAAACAAATTTCACCCACTGTTTTATACCTGTAAACCTGTGATGTGACAAAGATTCAGATTCTGATAAGATGTCACAACACTTCCTGTGATTATAATAGGCTATACAATTCACGCCTTGTTTTTACCATTCAACACCAGGGCAGAAAAGTCAATATTGCTTCAGAAATATCAATCTTTATATACTATTTAAATGTTGATGTTAATATGTATTATTCTTATATTGCGTAGACCGAGCTTTGAAAGTCCTGCCGACTCTGCTTCCTCCATCGGTCTACAAGATTGGAGGAAAAGTCCACAGACCCACCATAGAGGAGTCCCGCAAGTCCTTCATTAATATCCAACCAGTAAGTTTTACTTTTGTTTTTCTACTTCAATAATGGTGGGTGTTTCTGTGTTTATATACTAGCATTTTCATACTTCCATAAAAAAGATAATAAAAACAACATGCGTAACTTAAATGGCAGGTTATATTGCAAGTAACTGTTGTGTAATTAACAGGTGGGGACCAACATGGTACAGTACCTACAGACAGCAGAGAGAACTCAACCCTTCCCGCACATCTTGTGTCTTGGTGATGACATGACAACATGCCAGACCTTCACCATTGTGTCAGACAACGCCATTGAAACGGACACTTTGCTGGGTGCAGTAGATCTTTGTTTTAAGGCTTTCTTTGTGTTTGACATCAATTACACAAAGCAGTGTCTCCCTACCTGGGAGTTTATCCAACAGGCAGTATATGAAATTGATGGACATGAATCCTCAAATGTCAAATTTTTGAGGACATCAATTGCAGCTTAGGCCTAAAAGTACACAGAGAGAGAAGTAGCCTTTTAGTGATGTGATTGTGTCAAACAAGTTGACAGCTGCTCTCTAAAAATATGAATGACACAAAACATGATTGTAAAACACAGTAGGCACACACTTTAATTGTGTCAAAACATTGACACACGTTTACACTGTACCTGCTAGTCCTGTTAATTCATTTATTTTTATTACTTTACGTGATTTAATTTACTTCATTTATTTATTTACCTTGTTATGTTTGTGTCTGTATATAGTTTCTGCCGGGAAGAGAAATGTTTTATCTCTATATTTAAACATGTTTTTTTTGTTTGACAAATGTTGTCTCGTGCAAAAGTAGCGAAAATAGCTGATCTGCTCACAATATGTCAGCAAATGATTTTGTCTCCATTGTTCTTTTATAGTGGAAATGGAATGTTGGCGATTTGCCAAAGCTGTTGAAATGATCAATAAATGCATTTTTTATATATATGGTGTGTTTGGAGATAATTATTATACATTATTATTATATTCTATTTAGCCCAACAATATAGTTAATTTCAATCAATAGCTTGGGTCAAATAAACAACCCAATGTATGGTTTATATTTAACCCAGTGATATAGTTAATTTCAATCACTAGCTTGGGTCAAATAAACAAACCAGCACATGGGTTAAAATTATCCAGCCCAGCAAATGGGTTAAGACAACCCAGCGCGTGTTCTGTCCTATAGTGACTCAGCAGCTGGGTTATGATTGGGTTATTTTTTAACCCAGTAGTTTTAAGAGTGTATGGTAACTTATTTAATTGTTATCCATAAACTAAGCCATTGGAAGCATGCAGTGTTAATTTTGGCAGCTGTTTTTGATTTAGTCTTAGTCTTAGTCTTTAGACGAAAATGGTAATTAGTTTTAGTCACATTTTAGTAATTTCTATCCTTCATAGTTTTAGTCTAGTTTTAGTCGACGAAAACTCAAAACGTGTTAGTCTAGTTTTAGTCGACGAAAACTCAAAACGTTTTAGTCTACTTTTAGTCGATGAAAAATTACATTTTAGTCAACTTTTAGTCAAAATGTTTTCTCTCTTTAAACCAATTCACTTAGGCAAATACAGGTATCTGAAATTGTAATCAAGGTGACAGCATCAAGTGTTGAAATTCGTAAAGCAACATTTCACTCTCTTAACACTTTACTTGTGTAATATCTAGGGATGGGTATCGTTAAGGTTTTCTACGGTACTGCTAGTCTTATCAATACTGCTTATCGATCCGGTACTTTAACGGTATTCTTGTATTTACTTTTTGTTATTTTTTAAAGGAAAAAACTAACAAATTGTTAACCGAATTAATTGCTTTATTTAAAATGTGAAATAAATTAAATATATATAATTATGTTAAAATATTGTACTGTACTTGAGTAAAATGTTGAGGTACTTGTACTTTACTGGAGTATTTAAATGTTTTGCTACTGTGTACTTCTACTCCACTACAGTTCATAGTTAAATGGTGTACTTCTACTCCACTACATGTATTTAATACCTTTAGTTACTTTACAGATGTGGATGAATGATGTGAAATATAATCAAGTGTTAACTCAGACTTTAGTAAATTCACAAGCTACCCTGCAGTATACAAAGTCCTTCAAACTAGCTGCACCTTTACCAGCTTTGAGAACACTTTCATGATCAATCATTATAAAACATATCATATCTATTATTCTGAAATGGACCAATCTGCACAATGACTACTTTTACTGTCGCTACTTTAAATATATTTTGATGATCATACTTTGACTTGAGGAACTCTTCCTACACTATGGTATTTTTTTACTTAGCTACAAGATCTGAGTACTTCTCCCACCTCTGCACACCTGATGTGATAACGTTACTCGTAATTGGGGCAACAGAGCTACGAGTTAAGGAAGTCGAAAATTGTGCATTTCTCCGACTGAATATGACGCCTTTTGGCCGGCTGTTTGGACAGACTACTCTACTCGTGTCAACGCGCTAACGCCAAAACATGGCAAACGAGCTTTGTCCACATCGAGCCTTGTAGTGTCTCTATACTTCTGAACGCTCCGTCCCCGGCAGATCTCTGTGTGCCGCTGCAGCGTGTCTGTTAGGCCCCGCCCCCGCACACAGAGAGACACAGGGAGATCGCTCTTCTGGAGTGAAGAGAGCGGAAATAATGATATTACAAGTTAGAAATGTAAGATGCATTTTGACAGACAAGACGGGCAATTGGGGGAAAATATGCTGCATTTTGAATGTCCGATAGTCCACCATTAACACCTTAGTCCCGTCTCGTCTCGTCAACGAAAACTAAATATACATTTCGTCAAATTTTCGTTATCAAGAATCTATTTTTAGCTCGTTATCGTCTCGTCTTAGTCATGTAAAAAAGGTCATTGACGAACATTTTTCGTCATAGTTTTCGTTAACGAAATTAACACTGGAAGCATGTAGATGTAAAAGGGAAGAGTCCCCAGGATGGAGCCTTGAGGAACCCCACAGGTCATATTCGTCAACTCAGCTGTGTAGTTAACTATAAGTAGGATTCAGACCAATACAAACAGTGCCAGAGTCCCACCCAGTTTTCCAGTCGGTCTAGTAATATGTTGTGGTCAACAGTTTAAAATGCAGCGCTGAGATCTAATAATACTGACAGTGAGATTCTGCCACTGTCCGTGTTTAAGTAGATGTCATTAACCTGTTACGCACGGCCCCCTCGGTACCGGGCGGATAAACGCGTCATTTGCAGGAAACAACGTCTAAGGAATCTTAATATTTAATAAAACTATGAATGTTTTATATCCATGTAACGGGAAGAAACTCAGCTAACTGATCTTTTTAATTTTATTTTCCCAAAAAAAAACACAATGCTCGCACTGAGCCTCTGAATTAGCCACGAGCGAAAAAATGTAACCTAAAACGGCACTTAAACTCACAATAACTCCCTTATTACTTATCCTAGATGCACAGCCAACCCCTCGTTGTTGGTGTCCTGGAGACACTGAATCTGTGTAAAAAACCTGAACACTCAGTGATAAACATTTGTGAGCTAAGTAGCTAGAAACGCTAACATGGCTTACCTTGGTCAAAACTGGTCTTCAATGGCATTAAAACGATAAAAAAACGATGCTGCAGTTAATCCATAGGTTCATCCAATGTGTCTGTGTCCTCTTTGAAATGATTTCTGATAATCCTCAAGCAATAAAACTGCTTTTTAGTTTCCAAATTCCAGAGGGAGAGATCGGTCCACTCTGATGCTAAATTACATGCGCGCAGCCCCCACCTTTTCTCTTTACAATGAGTGTGTATGTGGGCCTCCCCCTTCAATTCTATTGGCTCTAACGGTCAGAAAGAGGTGTCAACCATCAAAATCGAGCAAGGGGGGCCAGAGATATGGAAAAAAAAACATTTTCACCCAAATCACCTCAGAGGTGGGGTGGTTTTGGCTAAACCTCTCTAAAAAGGTAGAATGTCACTTGTTTTGCATCAATCTTGATACAGGGTACTTATTATATGTTGTACTTTGGATTCCTAAAGCTTTTAGTCTACTAACCCATCATCCAAGGGTAGTTTTCACTATCTGTAAAAAATAATATTTGGACGGACACTATAATTTACAGTTTTTTACAATGTAAAATCTGAATTTTCTTTAAAATAAAAAACATTTATATTGATTCTGACACTTCTACATCCAACTCACAGATGTAACCTTGCTTTGATAAAAGAAATTATTCATATAACCCTTTTAGAAGTTAGGTTGTAGTCATTTGTTTTGGGCATGTCATTTTCGAGCCTGAAACATGAAAAACAGGCTTGGTGCTTAACAGGTTAAAGAAGTTAATTAGAGCAGTCTCAGTGCTGTGTGACTGGAACACAACAAAACAGTTATTTTGTTCCAAAACAGCTTTTTAGCTGTTGAACTTTTTCAATTATTTTAACCGGCCTATAAATGTTCATCAATGAAGCCCCTAGGTTTGTCTTTAAGAGTGGTTTGATGACTGCAGTTTTTAGGGCCTGTGGGAATAAATATGAAAAAGGAGACGTGTTGGTGAAGGTCCATCAGGAGTCTGGCACATGGTGGAATGCACTAATTGAAAATTATTAGGATAAATGTGAGAGATAAATTAAAGTAACGTGGTGTTGAAGCATCAAATAAAAGATGCCTATCTGCTGGTGGTAGAACTGTTTGAGAATTTCTTGTGTTGTTTCCCTAAAGTCTGACAGAGAGAGACTCCCCCTGGTGGATGTTGTGCAGTATTGTGTTGTCTTTGCTCCAAAGGTTTTTGTACAGAGTGTTGGTGTTTCCTGTCACTGTGGGCCTCAGAGCACAGTAGTACACAGCAGAGTCTGTCACTGCAGCAGAGGAGATGATCATATTGATTCGGTTTGACTCCACTGTAATATTCAGTCCAGGGATTGGCTTAGTTACACTGCCTGAAACAGAGTGTGAGATGAGGAACTCTGGTGGTTTTCCAGGATATTGTCGATACCAGAAGTAATAATTAACATTAGATCCAGCTTTGTAGGACAGAGTAACAGTGCTGCCTTCTGAACTGAACTTGTCTGTTTTGACTGGAGTCAGATCTTCACAGCTGACGCCTAAGGGAAAGAATAACTCTGTTATTCAATGTTATAAAAGTCCTTTTAGCAGAACCACACTCAGAAAGCAATGACACTGATGTTTTATCCAGAGTGTAACTAACCGGATAAGATTGCAAAAAATATCAGAGAAAAAGCTGAGTTCTGCAGGGACAGCATGTTGAATGAAGGTGATGATGATGGTCTGTGTTGAACTCTGGTGAATATGGAAGTTCCTCTCTCTTCTATAGTTCAGGAACATCTTAGCTCCTCCCTGAATCTCTCTGTCTCCTCTTAGATCTGTATTTCACTTCTCTCAGTTACACTTCCTCCTGGGTAACAGATCCAAAGGCAGTCTGTAAATAAAAAGTCAGAGGACCTAGGATTGAACCCTGTGGTACACCATATGAAATCAAAGACTGACAGACAAACAGAAACCCTTATTTTAAATTCGTGGAGACTACATTATATTTAAACCTGTGAGAAAAAGGCCAGATTCCCTGATTGATTTAAACATTTGAACCTGTGGATGTGACTCAAAGGCAGTACATGTATTTGTATGGTAGTGAACAATAGTTCATACATTTCAAATGATCAAGCAGGTAAATTACATTACTGTATCATCACAAACTATTGAGTTTGAACAGAGAGAGACTCCCTCTGGTGGATGTTGTGCAGTATTGTGTTGTCTTTGCTCCAAAGGTTTTTGTACAGAGTTAATAATAATAATAATAATAATAGCTTGGATTTATATAGCGCCTTTCATGGGACGCAAGGTCGCTTAACAAAGAAGAATAGGGCAGAAACAAACATAACAAAACAAAAGGCTGTCAGACATCCAGTCAGACAGACAAAACAACAGATAGATTTAGGGGCCAAAGGCCTTAGTAAACAGATGGGTCT